TTAGTTTTTATCGAAGCTATTATTCGTAGCTTTTTGTTAGCTTTTCCCGTCCCAGTGTCGGGTTGTGTTTTGTCCTTGTATATCGAAATTAAGAATTTTACGCTAAAAATTTGGTCTGGTTACTGGTCCTGCTACTTGTAAAAAAATAATCGCATTTCCTGGTGTCGCGAACGGTGAGCCCGCTTCCCAACTCCATCGGCCCACCACGCTGCCTCCTGAGCGCCCACCAGGAGGAGCGGACCCAACTTCCCCCCGGGGACACAGGGGGCGCCCGTCGGCAGCTCAACCTACTCACTAGTGGCCGACGGGCTGACCTAGGTAAACAGCCCTACTAAACCCGAGTGACACACAACAGACCGATATAATTAGGGTAAAGCCCACATATAATACATAGAAAACACAATTATATTTACTAACATTTATTATGACGTAATAACTCACCATACTCCTCGAACTCCCGGAGGTCACCTCTCTCAGAGGTGAGCCCCGCCAGCTGACTCGACGTATTAGACCCCCACGTTGGTCGGCTTCTTCTGGGGGCTCCATGCGGCCGACGTGTCCTATCTGGGATGTTGTAAGGGCTGCTCCCAGACGGACAGGAAGGACAATCGACCTGGCTTGATGACAGCGCTTCGATCTCTTCGGCCTGTTAAAGCAAGAGGCCAAATAGGACAACGAGCCGAGCGGCCCATCCGCTTAAGCTGCCTCACTCGCGTATGCCTCGTGAAATCACCGGATGAACACCGACCTGCCCGGTGGCCAGCTCCTACGAGCACCGCCGCTAGGACGGAGCGCGTAGCGCCGACTAACTGGCCTCGACCGCAGGGAGGCGGGGCCAATGGCGCTGGAGCGCGTTGGCAACCGAGCGCAAGTGGGCCGGGGCGCGCGGTGCGCCCAGCGGGCCACCGTCGCATCCGCGACACTCCCGAGACAAGCGAAGCCGCCCGGGGGAGGGGCGCGGGGGACCACGGTGCCCCACCAGGGGAGATAAACATCGTTTAGCTTCCCGAACGAGAGTCGCTATTGTATACTTGGCTACAGTGATTTTGTGGCGAACACACCAATTCAGAGCCAGTTAATATAGATATCCCTAGGAAACTAACTGAGCTGAATATACACTTTCACAACTTTGCCTACCACAGTGACTCCTTACTAACAGACACCTAAGGTCATTAATTTTTATACTAAGTGAAAAACGTAATAGTCAACGCTGTCCTTAAGGCTCCATAAGACATCGCATAAGCAACTTCTATGAAACATAAGTCCTAAGCCACCGAAAAGGCAAGGGGACACCTTAAGGGTGTCCAAGAAACAACCATAATATACAACGATGAAAGAAACGTACTAAAACCCCACAGCGAGATACATACAACACTAGAGCGCCTTAAGGGCCGCTCGAAAAACTCATCATACTGGGAGCGCCTTAAGGGCCACTCCAAAACGACAATACCAGGAGTGCCTTAAGGGCAACTCCGAAAAACAACAATAGGAGAGCGCCATAAGGGCCACTCCAAAGAACATGACATCGGAGGAGGTGCCTTAAGGGCAACCTCAAAATCCATGACTGTAGTAGTGTCGCTGTAACTCGCCGCTGACTTTACTTCCATTGCCAACTTCCATCCAACTAACGATCCACTCCACCGACGTGATCAGGGCGACTGATGTTGTTGTCGCAAGTGACCACGTCGCTCGCACCACACTTCCAACGCCGAACTCGATCCTCGACCACCGACTACCAACTTCCTCGAACCACCATCGAACCACTCGATCTCGTCCGGCTCGCCACTCGTCGCTTGCTGGAGGGATCGCCACCAAATTGTCTGCCACCACATTACCTAAATCTTTGAGTAAAGGGGGTGTGCCAAACGCAGTAAAACACCGACATAATTACACAGTCATAAGTAAGTGGGGAACAAACTTACCTGTTATAACCTGCCTGTGTACGTAGTAGACACAGGCGCAGTTGCATCGACCTAAACTTCCTGAAACTTAAACTTACCTGCTACAACTTACCTGTGTATTTCTTAGCATTGATGTAAACTACCATCTTTTTTAAACTTACCTGTTTACTTTTCCGCCTGTAACAAACTTACCTGATAGTTTACCCCATGCACGTATTAGCCAGGGATAAGACCACTCTGGCAACGAATTAACTTTTATTATCTTTATTTCCCCCCGCCGTATTAGTGAGGAATTGTTACTACTCACGACGAATTAACGGGGAAATGACTACTACCCGTACGGAATAGTGGGGAAATGGCTACTACCCACAACGGATTAGTGGGGAATTGACTACTACCCACAACGCAGTATGAGATCTCTGATCTCAACGTCTTCCCTTTGAAAGCCGAGGACTCGGTCGCTGGGATACGTACTACCCGAACCTGGATGCCTATGCCTCGAACGTCCTGTTCTGGCTCTTGGCCGCCGTTCCTGATGAGGCTGGCGTTGTTCCTGGTTCGGAGGGATATCTTGATATGAGGCATCTGCGATGTTTCTATAGAATCGCTGAGCCATCATAGCGATATCGTTAACGACAATATGGGTTGTTACGCATTGTAGAAGTCACATCATGGGACTATCGACACACCGATTCATAATACACAAATAAGTCAACCGCCATCTGCCACGAGATGCGAGGTCTCCGAATATGATCCTCGAAGACAGATCGTCGTGCATGTGGACTGTGAACCGGAGAAACGTTTGCACGCTCACGTGAATATTCTGTAAACGTCAAACATCTCCAGCTTAGAAGTAGTGACCCTCTCGACGAACAAGAAAACCATGTACTGACCAGGCAGCGGAACCTTTTGTGGTGGTACCGGTGGTAAGCCTCGTCTTCTGAGCGTCTGAGCGGGGGAACCTCCATACGAAGTACTCGAGCACGATTGTGAAGATTGAGTCTCTTCAAATCGGGCTCTGCGCGAGTCATCTCGCCAATCTCGACTCTGTCCATGGCTCCTCTTCCTGTCCTGGCTCCGACCGCGGGCCTGGATACTGGGGAAACCCTAAAGCTTAAGACTGTCATGCGATTTTGTCTCGTTGAAATTGTTTCTATCTAAAAGCCAAAATTGAAAAATTTGCTTCCACCATGTTCTAGCGGGCCAAAACTAGTGTGACAGGGCGTCTGTGTATCTCCGTAGTATTGATAGAATGTTCGCAATGTGCAGTTGACTCTCTGTGGAACTCGGGTTGGCCTGAGGTTGTGTGTTGGCAGCGAGACGAGTTAGATCTACTCAATAATTCCCCGTATTGCAGTCATTTTTGGCATCATTTTTTTGGCGAGGGGTTTCTCATTGTCCCGACAGGCGGAGAAGTGGTGTTGGGTGTCACCGCTTTACCGAGCGAGCGGTCCGGGGATCAAAATGCTAGTCGTGGTCGCTCCCCACTGACCTGCCATGCCTTTGTTCTCCGGGAATGGCCGTAATGGTACCGTAAACTTATCCTTGGGAGAAAAAACACACTGACTTTGTAACTGATTATCGCTCTGGTTTGGCCGCTCCGATCTGTCAGTAGGCCACATTCTGCATTCGACACTCGCAATTGTACATAATATGGAAGTGGAAATGCGTGCCGCATTGTCGGCAAAAGGGATTTGATGCTAGCGAGAATATGCGTCAGTTTCTGTTTTTGTATTCTTTTATGGGTTTTCGTTCCGCTGTCTCCAGCATGCGGACTTCGGCCCTTGTAACGCCTTTTGAAATGCGTCATGCTTGGCAGTCTATGCTCCCTGGTAATATGAATTAAACAGAGAAGCGTTTGCCCTTAGTAGGCGTCATACGACTGTCCCCTGAGTCGTCGGAAGGCTTTGCGTCGCTGGATTTAGTCGCCAGCTGGGTAGTGGGCTTATCTTCACTCTTCTTTTCATCTGATGTCTCTTCGCCCTTTCTGGCCAAATTCGTTGATTCGTGTGTAATCGACGGGATAAAGATAGCGCTGGTATAGGTAGATCAGGAACACGATATCATCGCTGAAAACTTACAATGATAACCGAACGATAAGAAAAGTACCGTGATAATGTAACTAACCGAAAGCATGCAACTCGATGAGAAGTTGGCATGACTATAATGAAGGCAAACAGATCATCGATGAAGGTATTGAAAGCCTGAACGGGAAACAATTGCGATACGCAATAAATGGAAGAAATAGAATAAAGCCATTAGAAGGAGTATTTTGGTCGATCAAAAATTGAGCATACCTTGTACGTGAAAGCTCTCCATGGTAGATGGGCCACACTTTTCAGCTTATAATTTACAAACAACTGAGGAAGCATGAACAAGAAACCAAACGCATAGACTCCATTCGCCATTGACTCAAGCACCCAGCTATACCACGACTTATGTGGTACATACATCAAGCTGGAACAATATGGAAGTAAAAATCGATGAAGCACCGAAACAGTTTTACACGAAGTAATAATACTCCATGAAGCGTTTCACAAGAATGCGAGAGGTGCGGGTTCTAGTCCCGCCTGGGGCGAAAGTTTTGTTCACAACCCAGCAGCATTCTTGTGAAACATTCGCAACGCGAACTGCGGCGTTAAAACAGCAGTTAACAAACAAAACAAGTCAAACTCCATGAAGCTTCTATCGAAATTCACCATCTTCAGCACTTCGAAAGCTGTCTTAGACACAACATCAGTTCAACCTTTCACGCTTACATGCGCGCTGTAGTACAACTTTTTTCGAAATTTCATCTTCGTAATTATTCGTCACAATTGAATTGTAAAAGATCATGTCGTAGCGGCACAAAAATATTGGTGAACCTACCATTTTGCCTTCCCCTCCCTTTCCCTGCATATGCCTCCATATTCGAATATTAGGAAACCAATGCTAATCTACAAGGTACAGTTCATTATTTCGTACCTGTAAATGGCTCCTCCGATGCAGAGAGGAGTCATCAGCCATGCCAGGTATTTCATAGCTTCATTATCGAATGCATCGGTCTCCGCTTCCTCGGCTGAGTGCTTTCCAAACTTTAATCCACGCCGTGTGAACGTCACCTGTGAAAAGAGAAACTATTTAAAATCTAATATTCAACTGAACTCCAAAAAACGCCACTGATGCTTTGCACAGACACCATGTATTTTTTCGTATTCCCACTGCAATTTTCGAAATTTGATCTATGACCGGACTCGGAGGAAACCTTCCTTCGATATGTTCCACATAGTTCAGGAAAAAATTGAATTTTTTCAGATTCATTGGTCTCCTTGAAACAATCGCATATCACAAGATTGCTTCAGCGCAAGAATTTCAGGAGATGAAGTAAGCCCTGTACTACTGAGCGCGCTTATGCATATGCGGCCTAAAAACCTGATAGGATGAAAAGCTCCTGCTGTATTGAAAGCAAGTCCAAGCAACATCGACAAAAGGAAATGTACAACAAAAATAGCATCCACTAACCTTGAAAGCCTTTTTCAACTTCCAGAACTCAATAAGAACGGAGATTCCAGCAGGAACAATCACAAGAAGACTAGTGTTCTGATCTTTAAGATAGAAGAAAATAACTGTATACGAAAAACATCGCCACAGCAGAGCCCTAAAAGAGGAACGGCATTGAGGTGACCTTCAACCAAAAGCGGCCATTGCAGCCACAGCCGAGCACCTACTTGGACGAGAGGCCAACCATGGATTCGCGGCTACGCCAGAAGGATATGTCATTCTTGAATGACAGTATATCGAAAAGAAGATGGATTGACGAGACGAAAACAGTTACACCAAGAAGGTAGAGACTAGTGTCTCCAAAAATAGCTTTTACCTAAATAAAACGATTACTAGGAATATATTTGAGGAAACTCAACAATTATCGCCACATAAACAAACCAGCCTAATGGCAAATGGCGCAGTATACCAAGCGCGTCGCCTCAAAGGAAGTGCGGCTTCAAATTCACTCAAGCTAACCTAATCTACCCTCCTTCGACTTCAAGTTATATCCCATTTTTGTATCCCGAAGATTTCTTAATAAGTAATTTTGTAGTAGTGAAGCTCACATCCTCAAGATCTTGGGTAAATCCAAGCTCGAGAAG